CTATGGAAGATATAAAACTATTAGAACAATTAATGGAAAATAATTTACATATGTACCTAAGAACCCAAGATATGTTATATCTAGAATACATCACAAATAATATTAAAAAAATATCCAGATTAAAACAACTATCAGAAGAATATTACAATAAGTATTATTACATTTTACCATGAATTCCGCACCCCCAAAAAATTGTATCACGTCTATTAGAGTCTTGTTCATCGGTGTTACTCGCAACAAATCTATGAGTGAGAGGCTTTAGGATGATAGAAGTTTCACTTTCTTCAATACTCTTGTGTCGTGCCGTAGAGCTTAACTCCATATGATCTCTCTCTTATTTTCCCTTGTCCGGTGGTCTTCTAGGTGTGATTACTTGGAAGGGGTGATGTTGCAAGGATTGAGGGAAGATAAAGGTGAGTTTAATGCTTATTATGATGTGGTGACTATATGAGTATATATGGAGGTAGATTTGGAAATCGTATAATGATGCCAACCATGGATATGTGTGACCTATGAGGTTGGAAGCATTACATTGAAAATGTTGTATGGTGGTATAGTTCTCATATGATAAGAGTCGTTATGGTAAGAATGAAATCCTTTTTAGGATGATGAGTTGCTTTATGGTGATGGGTAATGAAAGTAGAAACTCATGGTGTAAATTTGAGGAGTTTTGAAGGAATGTGTTAACTAGTGTGAGTTCAAAGTTACTTTTTTTTCTTATGAGTGATCCTTTATGGTTGTTCTTGTGTGAATCGGAGTCCTTGTGCAGCTGAATTAATCCCCCATGTGTCGGGACCTGAACCGCGGTGGTGCTCTTCTACAGCTTCTTCTACATAGGCTCCTCCACTTCTGGAATTGAAAAAGGAAGCAGGCTTTCCCTAAGAGCGAAAAAAAGGGGCTTTGTTCCATGAGTTGGGATAGTGTTTTGCTCTAAGGTTAACTTGGAGAATTGCATGTACCCCTTAGTTCATGGGAAGGACAAGAGAATAGATGTTGACCAACTCTAAAGAGGATAGTTGTCTTGTAAGGTTGATCTTAAGTATGGTCATTCAAGAGGGTGTTCAGGTAATACCTAGGCATGGTTGAGTTGAAAATTACACCTAAGGTAATGATTAAAGGAGTTTGCATAACTTAATCCCAAGGGGGGGACATTGTGCTTAATTGGTAAGTGATAGGTTTCTTGGTTACTGTAATGTGCTCTTAGATGTGTTTACCCTAAGTGGGGAATGATGAGTGAGTAGTAAGGTTGTTGATATCCTTATCCTTTCCTTCTATTGTCATTCAAGCTTGAGACCAAAGAGTTCCTAGTAGCTTGTTCATGTTTTGGAGTCTTGCATATTATTATGAGTTGCATGATCTACGTATGTTATGCATGTCCTAGAAGAAACTATGTTATGCATGTTTTGAAGGATTCTTATTACATAAAAATGGAATTTTAGTAATAAAATTCATGTCTCTCATGTCAATATGCATCTTTATATGGTGAATGCACTCTTGACTTCATGAGGAAGAGAGTATGAGCATGCTTAGGTTAGAAGTTGAGAATTTCTCCTTAAATGAATTGACCTTTGTGTAATGCTTGATTATGAGTTTATGATGCCATGTGTGTATGTTGTGACAAGGAGAAAGTAGTACCTCCTTGAACATAATTAAACATGGTAATACCAATGAAATGGGAATTAATAAAGTTGATGCATAAGGGGTTGGTAGATGTGTTGCTCCATTCTTGAATTGCACAAAGTTGTTTTGAGCCTTTTATGTGTAGTTGATGTTACTCCTTGATGTTTGCTCTTATGTTGATGTTGTATGTTGTGTATTGTGAGCTGCTAATTGTGTCATTGAGTCCTCGTAAGTGTTTTAAGTGTCATTAGAGGACGAATGTTCCTAAGTTGGGGATATTGTAACGACGCTCAAAATGAAGTAGGATAAAGTAGAGCCTCACATGGGTTTTATGCATTAATAACTTGTTAAAATAATGAAGAATAGCCTTTTCAGTCAGTTTTAAAGAATTTGGAAGTCAAATGTCAAGGGACAACCAAGATGTTCGAAAACTAGTCTTTTGCGTGTTGGTTTGTTCTAGTATGTTGTTCATGTTTTTATGTGTTTTTTGGAGTCTAAAATCAGTGGAGGTGACCCTAGTGTCTTAATAATTGTTTTAGGGTCAAAACGTTTGGGTACGACTCCCCGGGACCACCCTAAAGGTTCCCGAGGAGGACCCCAACCCTTGGCAAAACAAGCTGCCAAGGCAGCTTGAAAATGCACATGGAGAGAGCATGTCCGCGTCGCGGACTAGCTCCACCATAGACAAAATTTTTGGTCCACGTTGCGGACTCTACTGTCTCGTAATTTAATTTCCAGAAACTTGTGGGAAAACCTCCGCGTCGCGGACTGGTTCCCCGATGAAATATGCGTAAATAAAACTCAAGTTTGACTTGTTTAAAAGGTCCAAATAAGTGAGGGGTGGTTTGGGTACTTTTGGGGGAATTATTATAAACGGTTATTCTACCTATTTTATGGTATTTTAAGTTGGTTAAAACTCCAAAACCTAGAATTAGACCCCATTCTTCAAATTGACCCTTCCCTCTCCAAATAGATTCTGTCAAAAAATCCATTGAAGACCTTGA